CACCACACACACACCGCACAGCACACACGACACACAAACCACATGCGCGCACAAACACCACAGCAACACACACACACAACACCACACACACACCACACACAACACACACACAACACACACAACACACACACACACACACACACACACACACACAACACACAACGTAAGTGCATATGTCTCGCTCTATAAATACATGTCTATATACACACAAATACCACCACCCACCGGAGGACCAAACCACACACATATACCCATAAGTCTGTACGTGTATTTGTCTGTATATATAATTACATGTCTATATACACACAAAATACATACCCACCACCACCACCGCGACCGCTAGAGGACCCTCCCCCCCCCTTACCGAAGTCCGTGAGGCCCCAGCCGACGATGACCACCTCCTGACCCACCGCGAAGTCGTCCGGCGTCGAGATACAGATCGGTTGTACTCCGACGCCGAGTTCAGAGTTCCCCCAGGTAGAGAGGGCGATGTCGTGTTCCTCCTGAGGCGTTCGTGGGGACAAAGGGCGTGGGAGGAAAACGGGGGGAATTGGATTTAAAAAAAGAGGAAAGGTCTTGGTAGGGAGATAACACGGGTGAGAATGATTGAATAAGTTGCAAATCTCTCTTAGAATAGAAAATAAACCCATCATGTTCTATTTCTCAAACACAAAGAGGTTTTGGTGAGGACGAATAATTGGTTTGTGGAGGAGAATGTTCGTGAAGTGCCATCGAAACTTCAATCTTATTTGTATTGTTCTTGTAAAGTTATTCCTTCTCATTCTTATTAGAAAGATTTATGATTGCTGTTTTTTTTTCTCATTAGAAAAATTGCTGGTACTGTCGCGTTTGTCAAAAGGTATTTGTCTTCCCTTCTCACTTTCGAAACAAAAACACAATAAATATAGAATTATTTCTTAATGTTTATATCATTATCATAATTATTACTTTCATGATTATTATCCTCCACCTCCTCCACCTCCTTCCTTCATCCCCATCCCCCTCCTCCTCCTCCCCCCTCCTTCCTCACCCCTTTCCTCACCCCCACCTCCTCCCCCCTTTCCCTCCACCACCTCCACCCCCCTCACCTCACCCCCCTCCTCCTCACCCCTTCACCCACCCCTCCTCACCCACCTCCACCCAATCCCCTCCCACCCCCTCCCCTCCTCCCACCTCCCCTCCCCTCACCCACCTCCCTCACCTCCCCCCTCCACCTCCTCCTCCTCCCCCCTCCTTCCCCCCCACTCAACCGTATCCCGCCCATCGCTTGTAGTCCGGGTGACCTTTACCCCCTCACCCCCATCTCCCCACCCAATCCCCCTTCCCCCACCAACTCCCCACTCCCCTCACCCCCTTACCCTCCACTCCCCCACCCACCTCCACCCAATCCCCTCATCCTCCCTCCCCCCCACACCACCTCACCCAATCCCCTCACCCTCCACCCAATCCCACCTCCCACCCCCACCCTCCCTCCCACCCCCAACCTCCCCACCCCCCCCTCCCCAACCTCCCCCACCTCCCTCTCCCCCCACTTACCATATCCGCGCCCATCCGCCTTGTAGTCCGGGTGGACCACCTCCACCTCCCTCACACCCACCTCCCACCACCTCCCCTCCACCCAATCCCCCACCTCCCCCTCCACCCAATCCCCCCTCACCCTCCTTCCCACCTCACCTCCCCCACCTCCTCCTCCACCTCCCCTCCCCAACCTCCCCATCTCCCTCTCCCCCCACTCACCGTATCCGCCCGTCCGCCTTGTAGTCCGGGTGGACCAACTCACCTCCCTCACCCACCTCCCACCCACCTCCCTCCACCCCAATCCCCCACCTCCCCTCCACCCAATCCCCCACCCCCCACCTCCACCTCCACCTCCCCTCCCCCAACCTCCCACCACTCCCTCCTCCCCTCCCCCCCTCCCCAACCTCCCCCACCTCCCTCTCCCCCCACTCACCGTATCCCGCCCGTCCGCTTGTAGTCGGGTGGACGAACAGCTCCTCCCTCCCATCCCCCACCTCCCACCTCCCTCCAACCCAACCTCACCCTCCACTCCGCTCCCACCCACCTCCCTCCCTCCCCTCCCCTCCCTCCCCAACCTCCCCCACCTCCCTCTCCCCCCACTCACCGTATCCCGCCCGTCCGCCTTTGTAGTCCGGGTGGACCACCCCCACCTCCCCTCACCCACCTCCCCACCCTCCCCCCTCCTCCTCACCCTTCACCCACCCTCCTCCACCCACCACCTCCCCAACCTCCCCTCCCCCTCTCCGCACCCTCCCCACCCCCTCTCCCACCTCCCCCACCCCTACCCCCTCCCCAACCTCCTCCACCTCCTCTCCCCCCACTCACCGTATCCCGCCCGTCCGCCTTGTAGTCCGGGTGGACCACCCCCACCTCCCCTCACCACCTCCCCACCCTCCCTCCCTCCTCCTCACCCCCTTCACCCACCCTCCTCCACCCCACTCTCCAACCTCCCTCCCTCTCCCACCCTCCCACCCCTCTCCACGCCTCCCACCCCCCTACCCCTCCCAACTCCTCCACCTCCCTCTCCCCCACTCACCGTATCCCCGCCGTCCGCCTTGTAGTCCGGGTGGACGAACAGCTCCTGCACGAAGATGGAGAGCACGTTGGTCTCGGTCAGGTCGTCGAGGTCGTGCTCGGCGAGGAAGACGGTGAATGGTGGAGGTGGCCGTGCGCGGGGAGGGTCGGGAGGGTTAGGAAGAGATTGGGGATGAGGAGGAGGAAGTGTAGGATTAGGAAGAGATTGGGATGAGGAGGAGGAGGAGATTGGAGGATTAGGAAGAGATTGGGGATTAGGAAGTGTAGGATCGGGAGGATTAGGAGAGATTGGGATTAGGAGAGGAAGAGGAAGTGTAGGATTAGGAGGAGGAGGATTAGAAGAGATTGGGATTAGGGGAGGAGGATTAGGAAGAGATTGGGATTAGGAGGATCGGGAGGATTAGGAAGAGATTGGGATTAGGAGGAGGAAGTGTAGGATTAGGAGGAGGAAGAGGAAGTGTAGGATTAGGAGGAGGAAGAGGAAGTGTAGGATTGGGAGGATTAGGACAAGATTGGGATTAGGAGGAGGAGGATTAGGAAGAGATTGGGATTAGGAGGATCGGGAGGATTAGGAAAGAGATTGGGATTAGGAGAGAAGACGGAAGTTAGAATTAGGAAGATTAGGAAAGATTGGGATAGGGAGAGGAAGTAAAAGTTGGAGATGGGATGAAGGTCGTTTGCGAGTAGGATTAGGAAGAGATTAGATTAGAAAAAAGAATTAGGAGGAGAAGAGGAAAGTGTCAGGAGTGGGATGAAGGGTCGTCTGCGATTATCATCATCATTATCATTATTATAGTAAGCTATATAAAGAGCCACACTAAAAAAATAGATTTATACCACCAAAGGTGCCAGTGCAGGTCAAGATACAGCTAAGAAAGAATGAAAGAATAGAAAATCAGCTATTTACGTAAGAAAAAAAAACATGTTAGCTGATCTTTTAAACTTATCAAGAGTCGGAGAAGTTACAATCTCAGAAGGCAATCTATTCCAAAGTCTACAAATAGCAATAAAAAAGCATCTAGAAAACTGACTTATAGACGATCGACTTCCATCAAATGTCATTGAATTGAGGGTCATAGAACTTCTGGTAATTCTTACAGGTTGATAAAAATCAGGAAGATTAGAAAGATTGGAAAGGGGAAGTGTCAGGATTAGGATATGAGGGTCGTCTGGATAGGAATCTTGGGTCGATTTCCATCATAAATTATTCAGAAGTAACAGACTATCCTAATAGATTAAATTCTAAGAAATAAATTTGTTTCCAGGGAAAATAATGATTATGATGATAATGATATTGATGACAATAAAAACATAATAATGATGATGATGATTATGAGGATAGCGATAATGATGATAATGATAATTATGATAATGATGATAATAAAAATAACAATAATGACTGATGATAATAGTAAATAATAACAATAAGATGATAATGACAATTATATAAATAACAATAAACAAAAATGCTGGAAAAACATATAATAATAATAATGATGAAAATAAGAGAGCAAAAGACGATAACAAAATAGAAAATAAAACCGATGGAAGAAAAGGGTAAAGAGAAAAATAAACGAAAAACATAAAAAAAGTAATAACAAAAAAAAAGAAGTAAAAAAACAAATAACAACAACAAAAGCGATAACGAAAAAAAAAAACATAAATAACAACAACAACAAAAGTATTAACGAAAAAAACATAAATAACAACAGCAAAAGCGATAACGAAAAAAAAGAAAAAAAACATAAATAACAACAAAACAACAAAGCGACAACGAAAAAAAGAAAAAAAAACATAAATAACAACAACAACAACAACAAAATCGACAAAAAAAACAAAAAGAAAAAAACATAAATAACAACAACAAAATCGACAAAAAAACAAAAAGAAAAAAAACATAAACAACAAAATCGACAAAAAAACAAAAAAAGAAAAAAAAAAAACATAAACACCACCACCACCAACACCCAAACCGACAACAACAACAACAACAAAAACATAAACACCAACACCACAACACCCAAACCGACAACAACAACAACAAAAAAAACATAACAACAAACCACCACCAACACAAACCGACAACAACAACAACAACAAAAAACATAAACACCAACACCACCAACACCAAACACGACAACAACAACAACAACAAAAAACATAAACAACACCACCACCAACACCCAAACCGACAACCCCAACTGACTCCCTGTCGCTGAAGCAGTGGGCGGCGGTGATCACGTGATCCCTGTTGACGATGGCGCCCCCGCACGACACGTCCTGGCCGCCGCCGCCCGAGATGGTGATGTAGGCCACCCACGGGTACTCCAGCCTCGTCGCCACCTGCCCGCCCACGATCCGGGGCACGGTGAGGTTCGCACGCCCACACTCCGCGGCTGGTGGGTTGAAGGCATTTGTGAATATGGGTGGGTGGGTGGGTGGGTTTGGGTTGGTGTTTTTTTTTTTTTTTTTTTTTGGGTGGGTGGGTGTGGTGGGTGTGGTGTGGTGGGTGTTGGGTGTGGGTGGTGTTTGGGTGTGGTGGGTGGGTGGTTTGGGTGGTGGGTGGTGGTGGGTGGGTGTGGGTGGTTGTGGGTGTGCGTGTGCGTATGTGTGTCAGTGTATGTGTCAGAGTGTGTGTTGTGTGTGTGCAAGCACATGTATGTATAATGTATGCAAACATGTATGTATGTACGTATATATATATGTACACACACATAAGGAGCCTCCAGCGACACCCACACACGCATATACATCAACACCCCAAGCGGAGCCTGAGCGAGAAGACCTCACCACAGAAGAGCCTGTCTGGTATAACTGTAGCATTTTGTGTCGTTGAGGTCGTCCTTATTGACGTGGGCGTGGGCGTGGGCGTGGGCGTAGTTGACGTGGTCGTGGTTTCGTCTTTTGGAAGGAAAAAGAACGGGATTAGGTTTATTTAGATTATTTAGCCACCGTTTCGTTAAGACCAAGCTTGGCAAGCCAGCACACAAGAAACAATATTAATCATAGTAGTAGCAATACCACTGATAGTGATACCATTATTACTACAATTAATGGTTGTACCAAATTACAAGGTAAAAACCACACACTTTTTCTTTTTAAATCAAATACTTCAAACAATTTCATGATATTAAACACAGTAAAAAGCATATCACACGAACACGATTTAAAATATCATCACTGCAAGATATGATCAACAAAATTGCAACACACACACACAAAGGTAAAAAACAGATCTTTTACAAAAAAAATATATATATATTCTAAAGGGAAAAATAGTATCAGATGATTAGTATATAATTAGTATATTAATTATTATATTCACATCAAAAAGGGATAATGATACAATTTCCGATTATCATAAACTGTATTTTGATGATGATAATGATTACAATAGAATATTGTGATGGTGATGATGATGATAATGATGATGATGATAATAATGATGATGATGATGATTAAAGATGCTAGTCATAATAATGTCTATGGAAATAATGATGAAGCTTGTTTGAAAAAAAATAAAAATATAAAAATTATAATGATAATTATAGTAATATCATTAATAACGAATAACATAATTATATTAAGAACAATATATTAAAATGATCTTCTGATGACAGTATCGTAGTGATGATGATAATAAAGATCATCAATACTATTAATTATGATAATCAACAACAGAAATGTGATAATTATAAGAATCATGATAATTTTGATGACGCGGAAACTGATGTATTTGGATAACGTTATAATGATAGTGATGATCATTATGATTATAGTAATGATAAGAATGATGATAATGTGTGTGTGTGTGTGTGTGTGGTGTGTGTGTGTGTGTGTGTGTGTGTGTGTGTGTGTGTGTGTGTGTGTGTTGTGTGTGTGTGTGTGTGTGTGTGTGTGTTATATATATATATATATATATATATATATATATATATATATAATATATATATATATATAGAGAGAGAGAGAGAGAGAGAGAGAGAGAGAGAGAGAGAGAGAGAGAGAGAGAGAGCATATATATATATATATATATATATATATATATATATATATATATATTATATATATATATATATGTATATATATATATACATATATATATATATATATATATATATATATATATATATATATGTATATATATATATATATATATATGTATATGTATATATGTATATATACATACATACATACATACATACATACATACATAATATATATATATATATATATATATATATAATATATATATATATA